AGCGAGGCAGATGGCCCACGGAAGGGCCAGTCCTTGGCCTCGGCGGTCGTCATCCCGTCGCGGCCCGTCTTCACAGGGAGCTCCGAGAGAGAGGCCAGGCCCTCCTTGAAGTCGAGGTAGCGGGCCTCCTGCGCGTCGCGGCTGATGGCGAGCACGCGGGGGTCGCGGCCGGCCCCCGTCTGCTTCTCCTCCTTCCAGGCTGCCAGGTCGCCGGGCAGCAGCCTCTCGACCGCCACCCACCTCTGGTCGTCCATCCTGGCGAGCCCAGCGTGACCCCGCGAGACGAAGCGCGCGGGGTTGGAGGTGACGGCGACCTCGACGGTGGTGCCGAAGTCCTCGTCGGCGGGGTCGGCCACGTACCAGACGGCCGCCGAGGCCGCAGCAGCAGGCGCAGCCCCACCCAAGATACTCGCCAAGGCGTGTGCCTGTTGCATCAGGCCCGCCAGCTCGTCCTCCCCCAACGGGTCGAAACCGAAAAAGTTCCCCCGCAGGCGAGGCGGGATGGGGCACCCCCTCACCAGCGGCGCGACGCGCGACGTGGAGAGGTTCCGCACCTGGACATCGTGGGTGGGAGTCGCGTACACCCACCGGCCGTCGTCCCCGATCTTGACCAGGAGGATGCGGTGGTGCCACCTGAAGTTCGGGTCGTCGTCGAACGCCTCGGCGATCTGCTGCTGCTCGATATCGAGGGCCTGCGGGGCGGCAGCCATCAGCGGCGACGCCGCGGCACCCAAACGTCAGGCTCGTCGAGAGCAGCCAGACCAGGACCCCCAGCGTCGCGGTCGCCCAGCGCCAAGGGCGGCGGCGCCGCACGGCCCGCGGCCAGGGCGGAGGGCGTGGCGGGGCCCCCGAACGAGGCCCCCGCCGTCGCCGTGCCAACCCAGCGGCCGTGGCACCACAGGCGGCAGGCCGCCGCGAGACCCAGGGCGAGGGTCGCAGCAGCCAGAGCGGCGGCCCACACCGCCGAAGTCGCCCAGCCGCAGGTGCAGGCGGGGCAAGCGGCCGCCGCCTGGCAGGCGGCCTGCGAGGGGCAGATCGCCTCGGGGCAGACCGCCGCCGGGCACACGCACGCCGGGCAGGGCGCCGCCGGCGGGCACGTCAGCGCGGGGCAAGCAGGCGCCGGGCAGGCGCAAGGCGGGCAGTCGAGGACGTGCCCGCAGGAACCCTGCCCCGCAGCCACGGGCCCGGCCAACCAGCCGCCGGTGAGGCCACCGAGGAACGCCGCGATCGCGGCGGCAGGGGCGCCGAGCGGGCCGGGCCCTCCCATCCCAAGCCAGAAAAGCTGCAGAGGACTCCGACGCGGACAGTGATAACGTGTCACACTTCCAATCATCATCATCATCATCATCATCATCATCATCATCATCATCATCATCATCATCATCATCATCATCATCATCATCATCGGGACGCCGACGGGACACCGGCGGGGCACCGGCGGGGCACAGCGCGGCACAGGTTGCCGGAAGGGAGACTTTTGGTCCGGCCGCGCCTCAGCCAAAGGCGGGACATTCCTCGCCCGCCCGCGTAGCTTTGCCTCGCCCGCGCGCACGGCGCGCACGAGCGCGAAACCGAAACCGATTCCCCGGTAGGGGGTCTCTCCGTTCCACTTCGATCTCACCCCCTCACCTCCTATATATATATATATATATATATAATTTCTGGTGGTTGCGAGGAAATCTCGAGCGGTGGCCCCTCCTCTCCTGTGGATTGCGAGGAAGTCTCGCTAGGCAGTTTACACCTCGCTATCCTGATTCGGGCGCGGGGCCCGATCCGCCGCGGAAGCGAACTTAAACGGCGTCGAAATCCTAACGCTCCGGTTCAGCGTTGCGCGACCTCAGACTTCTGAGCGCGCCCGCCACATAAACGCAACGCATTTTGAGCACACTTGTCGTGCCGCGCGAAGAAGTCACTAGCGCCGCCCCCCCCCCGCTGTCACCGCCCGCCCCGCGGCCCCGGCCTCTCCCCGCCTGGAGGGCGGCGGGGGCAGGCCGAATCCGAGGGGTCATTGAACTACCCCGCCCCCCAAGGAACCGCGGGACGATAAACCAATTGCGGCGACGTCGCGTTGCTGGCAGCAACGCGCAGTTCCTGCGGCGCCGCTGCCTTTGGACATCGTCCTAGGAGGCTGGAGAAGTCGCCAGCGGCGAAGGCTTCGGAAATCTGCCCCCATCCGAAATCGCGGCGGTCATTTTGCCCCGCATGCGTCGCGGCGTCACGCAGCAGACTTGGCCGCCGCCCCGCGGCGGGCCTGCGCCCCAAGAAGCGCGCAGCTAGAATTGCGCCGCGCGCAACGCCCGCGCCGCGCGCCGGCACTCGCCGCGCGGCGGATCCCGCAGGCGCGCCGGCTCGCCGTGCCCGACTGCGACGCGCGCCAACACTCACTGCGCGCCAGCACTTACTGCGCGCTTGCAACCGCCGCGAGCCGGCTCAGGCACAGAGCGCCAGTCTGCCGCGCCCGCGTCGGGTGGCAATCACCGCGCGCCCGGTTCCCGCGCGCCGCCGCGCCCGACTGCGACGCGTGCTCGCGGCCGCCGCGCGCCGGCCCCGCGCGCTGGATCGCCGCGCCCGACTGCGCCGCGCGGTGGCAGTCGCCGCACGCTGGACCCCACCCAGCGCGCCGGCGCCGGCGCGCCGCGCCTGGGGCGCGCGCTGGCAACCGCCGCGCACTGGACTCAACCCATTGCGCTTGCTCGCCGTGCCCTCCAGCGGGCCAGTTTAGCCGCGCCCGCGCCGTGCGCCGCCAATCGTCGTGCGCCGGGCCCCGCCTGTGCGCCAATTTGCCGCGCCCGGTATCGGCGCGGCGGCCCCTCGCTGCGCGCCGGGCCAGTCCGGCGCGCCAGCTTGCCGCGCCGCCCAAGCCGAGTCGACTCGGCGCGGCGGCCGAGGTCGCGAAATCATTTCTTCGGTAGCTTCTTCTGGCCGCCGAGGGGCTTTGTGGAACCGCTCCGACCTCCTGTTCGCCCGCGACGTAAGCCACGCTTCCCTCTCGGCAGCTGTGGCGAAAACATTATGCCCCGCGACCTCCAAGCGCGAGAAGTGGCGAGGGGCCTTGCCTCGGTGGTCTGGCTTCTATCATGCTCCACGCAGAAATCCACCGCATTGGCGACGTTTGCACGGGTCGCCCCATGCTTGGCCGCGTCCGTCGGCGCGAAGGAATGCCACGTCACGACTGACGTCGGGCACCCCGTGTCGTGCTCCTCGTCCGACTCAGAAGAACCCTATGCCTCTGGGGGCGGCTCGGGCCCCGACGTCGCGGCGGCTCCCACGGGGGCGAGGCGCGGGTCCTGGGCGATCGGCTCGGGCGGCGGTGGCGCGGAGGGGTTGCCGATGCCCGCTATGACAGCAGACAGCCCTTTCTGGAAGGCCTCGTTGATATCCGGCCCATCATCCGCGCCCAGCGCCGCGGGGGCCTCTCCGGCGCGCCTGGGCCCCAGATGTTCCGGAATGAAATCGCCGAAATGAGATGTCCACAACTTGTTATGCTGAAGTTGTGGAAGTTGTGGAATTTGGGCTGAAGTTGTGGAAGATAGCTGTTCATGTCCTTACTTGTTTTTGTTAAATTAACTTCCCCCTATATTGAACCACTCAATCCCCTAACTTCCCCCTATCTTCAACCATTCTAATTCCTGTAATTTTAGAATTTGGGAAAAACGCGCTGCGAATGCAGATGTTATGTTTTTGGTCAGCCGCGCTGTTCTATATTATGTCTGCCCCCACAGCGTTGTTTTGCTGATTTGTTGCCCAGCGTTTAGCTCATTGCGCTCTCCAATGTGAATTAAATCATGCGCTTCGCGCCTCCTTCGTCTCCTCCTCCGCCTTCTCCTCCTTCTCCTCCTTCGCCTTCTCCTCCTTCCAACGTGCCAAGCTCCTCCTCCTCCGTCTCCTCCGTCTCCTCCTCCCCCTCCTCCTCATCCTGCTTCTCCTCCTCATCCTCGCGGGGCCTGGAGCGTGAAGGTCTGCGCGTATTTCCTCCAGGATGACGAGGAGGAGGAGGTGGAGGAGGAGGAGGAGGAATGGGAGGAGGAGGAGGAGGAGGAGGAGGAGGAGGAGGAGGAGGAGGTGGAGGAGGGGGAGGAGGAGGAGGAGGAGGGGAGGAGCTCCCACTCCCCCTTCCCCCCCCCCTCCTCCTTCTCCTCCTCCTCTCCTCCCCCTCCTCCTCCTCATCCTGCTCCTGCTCCTCCTCCGCCTCCTCCTCCTCCTCCAAGTCCCCCCCCCTCCTCCTCCTCACCCTCCTTCTCCTCTTCCTCCTCCTCCTCCCCACCCCCTCCTCTTCCTCCTCTTCCTCCCCTCCTCTTCCCCCTCCTCCTCCTCCTGCGCCCCCCCCCCCCCCATTCCCCAATGCGCCCTTGACGCCCCCCATTATCTTGCCAGTCCTCCTCCTCCTCCTCCTCCTCCTCCCCATCCCTTCTCCCTCCTCCTCCACCTCCCTTCTCCTCCTCCTCCTCCTCGTCCTCGTCCTCCTCCTCCTCCTCCCTCGTCTGGTTGTCTGCTTGTTCTTTCGGCGACGACGTCGGCCTCATCTCCTCCGGAGGAGGACGAGGCAAAGATGAGCGCCGAGGAGAAGGGATGTGGAGAGAGGGAGGAGGGAGGGGGGGGGAGGGAGAAGGGAGGAGAGACAAGGGAGGGAGCCAGAATGATCAGGAGGATGAAGGGCAGGAGGAGCAGGAGCAGGAGGAGGAGGAGGAGGAGCAGGAGCAGGAGCAGGAGCAGGAGGAGGAGGAGGGGGAAGGAGGAGGAGTCGAAAGACCTCTGGTGCTCTCCTCCTCCAGGTGGCCGAACGGCCAGGCAGCACGTACACGAGGAATGATCGTCACCATTGCCCTGCTGAGATGTGCTGATCTTTGACTGGTCTCGCCTCAATCTCTGTCGACAGTTCGGCGGGCGCGCCGCCTTCTCTAAGCCAAAGGCTGCGGCGGGCACAGGCGGCGGCGGGCGCAAGCACGCTGCTATGCTCGCTCCCGCTCTCCCTGACACCCTTTCACTCGGGTCGGGAATTCGAGCGCTCTGCGCGGCCCTCCAGCGCACTGCGCGCCGAGAAGGCCACTGGCTGCAGGCCGCTCAGGTGCCACTCGTTGCTGAAGCCCAGCTTCACGAGGGCCGTCCGGTCGAGCTCGCCCTTCGTCAGCCCGTCCGCCAGCATGTCCACCGCGTCGATCCAGCTGAGCTGGGACAGCTGGAGGCGGTCGATCTGCTCACGCACCGCGAGCGTCGGCACAAACATGCGCTTGTCCGTGGTCACCTTGATGGTGGCGGCGGAGACGGCGTCAAACACTGCCTTCGCGTCGATGGCCGCGATCATCTTCAACACTAGGTCGCCGGCCTCCTGCCGCACTCGCATCTCATTCGCTGTGCACACTCCTTTACTGATCTCAGTCAATGCCACGTTCATGAGGGTGCCGGTGCCAAGTGCGTCCAACAACGCCATCAGCTCGGCGGCGTAGGTGGACCTCACTACGTTGTTCTGCTTTCTGCTGTACCAGTCAAGCATCACAATTCTGTACGTCGATCCGGTTTGAAGCACCTCGGCGTCAGCCTCTAGCAACATGATCACACAGCCTCGGATCGCCAAGCCTTCGAACTCCATGGCGTGGAAGGCTGAGTCGCTGACGACGGCCAGCCGCACTCGGGTCATGTCCAACTCGATGAACCGAACTCCGAGCTGCTTCGCGTTCACCATGATCCATTTCAGCAGCCGGTTGATCTTCCGGATGTCTCCGACTGACGGCTTCTTGGCCTGCCGCTGGAGGTAGCTGACGCACACTGCAATGGGCGCCATCGTCTGCGTCATCCATGCGATTCCCCCGAGCAGCGACATGTACGCCGCGTGGGTCTCCACGCTCACCTGGCCATCTTCATTCTCCATCACATACTGGTCTTCCTGGAGCGGTCGCAGCTGCTGAACGTAGTGCTGCTGATGCGTCCAGATGGCCTTGGTCACAGCGTCCTGCTCTTGCATGATGCCGATGCACTCAAAGCAGTCGTACTGGCGCTTCAGCTTCCCGAACTCGCTCTCGATCATGCTCAGTACCTTCTCCCGCAGGTAGTCCTCGCCGCCGCCCTTGAGGTCGTCCACGTGCGAGGACATGATCATCTGCAGCTCACCCTTCGCGTCGTGGTACACGTAGATCTGCGGGTCGCTGATGAGCGCCTTGCCTCCTGTCTTCTCCAGCACTTGCTTCAACATGACCTGCCACAGCCTCGGCGCGTCCTTCAGACCGAAGCCGCAGCGCAGGAGCAACAACACCTCTGTCACAGGGTTGTAGTCCTCGTAGCCCTCCAGCTGCCGGAGGACTGGAATCGATCCTGGCGGCATCGTGAACTGTGCCTTCCGCTTGACCTCGCCGCCCATGGCGGCGACCTGCTCGAAGGTGAGCCCGCGCAAGAACGCCTGGCTGATGTCCGCTGAGAATAATCGCCACTTGCGCTGTGCAGTCACCTGATTCACCAGTCGTTGTCCCCATCGTGTCGAAGTACCCGCAAAGGTGGACAGCTCCGGTGACTGCATGTCCTTGAAGCCTCTCACCGTGAGCCTCGCGCGCACTTGCTTCTTGCCGTCGATCTCCTTCCACTTGAGCACCCAGCGGGAGTCGATGATGTTGGTCGCCTGATCCTTCGGGAAACGCTGGAATGCCTTCAACTCCGCCCAGCGCTGGAGCTCGTCCTTCATGGCCTGCCGTACTTCAACTTCGTGAGCTCGGGCCTCCTCCAGCGTGAGCACATTCATCTCGCGCTCGACGACAATCTCGCGCTTGCCCGTGTTGTAGACGCGCAGGATGTAGATCTCCCCTGACCCAGGTCGTCGCATGTGCTCCACCTCAGGGTGCACCCAGTACATGAGTGGCGCACCTATGCCGATCTCGACGCAGTCGGGTCGGGAATTCGAAGAATCATCCTCTGCTGCTTCTGCCACATGATCTGCGTCCGGGGCTGCAAAGAAGAAGTCGCTCTGAGCGCACTCGATGTCAACAGCAGGCAGAGCTGCCTGCTCCTTCAGGTGCTGCCAGCTCGCGAACAGGTACTCCTGGGTCGCGTCGCTGTCCGAGTCGCCGTCGTCGTCTTTGCCCCCCTCATCCTTGAGCGGGAGCACTGGCTCGTGCCGGGGTGCAGGGGCCTCAACTGCCGCGGCTGGCTCACCTGCACCTCGGGCTCCATGATCACGATCTGGGCCATCACGTGATCGCGATCTCTCTCGCGCTCCTCCGCCTGGCTTCACAGGCGGCTTCACGGGCGGCACAATGTTGTCGGCAGCGGCCGAGGCAGGAGAGGGCCCTCGTGGCCGATGGTGCCCTCGGTTGCTCCGACTCCTCGTTGAATCTGATGTTGCACTCGTCTGCCTGGATGCGCTCGGTATGCTCGTGTCGGGCACTGGCATCGATGCACTTGTCTGTCTAGATGCGCTTGGAATGCTCGTGTCGGATATCGGCTTGTCCTGCCAGGTCATGTCGAAGTCTTCCTCCTGAAACTCTGGCGGTTCCTGAAACGGTCCGGGTTCAGGTCGTTCTGGCTGTTCATACCGTCGTGCGTGTGGAAGGTTGCCGAACCACGGACCCCCAAGATGCGGAACCTCGGGTTCACGTCGCCGAAGTTCGCGAACAGACTCGTCGTCCGTCATGATGAACTGCACGAAGCTGACGTCCCGCCAGTGATCCTTGCCAAATATCGGGGCCAACTTCAGTCGAGCAGATCCAGACGCCTCGTGGTACCAGGACAGCTCTGGGCGTCCGCGCCGCCACCACCACAGGAAGCTGTGGTCGCATCCGACCATGCCCTCGAGCACAGACACGCCGTTACCCACTCGCGCGCCGATGCACCCCACCAGGTAGAAGCCACTGGCGGCAACGTGCAACACCGCCAGGACCAACTCGCTGAGCTTCTGGCTGTCCGCGGTCCGCTTCCACCCGGCGTCGAAGAGCCACCCGACGCGCACGACCTTGCTGTCCAGCTGGTCCGCGTAGCTCATGAGGGTGGCCACCGGGTCGAGCGATCCTGCCTCAAAGAAGATGTTGTTCGTGAACATCACGAAGTAGACGAGGCTTCGCCGAAGGTCCTGAGGTCGCACTTGAAATACTCGGCCCTGCCATCGAATGAGCACTGGAGGTCCGACCTGCAGCAAGGTAGCCGGGCCGCGCCACCCCGACTCCTCCTTCGTGCTCGGCGGCCGGTGGAAGTCAACCTGGTCGCCGACCGCCAACTGCAGCGCCTCGTGCGGGGCACGCGTCTTGGATCGAAGTGCGCGCCTCAGCCTGTCCTTCGCGGTCATCTCCACCATGGCTTGCATTGCAACTTCACGGAGCCGATGATGGTGTCGGGAGATTCCTGGAATGCCAGCCGATTGATCGTCGATCTGGCAGTCGCTCACCGGCTCGAACTCGGCGAGCAGGGGCGGAAGTCGGCCGTACACCGCCTGGTACGGGCTGTAGCCGGCCACGGTGATGAGAAGGTTCTTGATGAGGGCACACTCCATGATCACGATCTCCAACGGCATCACAATGCCTTCTTCCGCAAGCTGGGCCTGCACGCGGTGTATGATCTTGCGCACTAGGTCGTGATGACGCTCCACCAGCTGCGCGTGCGAGCCCTCCTCCTTGGCCTTCATCTCAATGCCCCAGCGGTCCAGCCACTGGTACGCCTCCTCTCCATGGAGACCGCCCTCGATGTCGGCAATCAGCAGCTTCATGGGGCCATGAGGACGTAGCCATCCCTGAGTGATGCCGGCGATAATCATGATCGCTGTCTTGCGTTCCAGGATGTGCAGCACCGTCCAGCGGGTCGCCTCATCGATCATGTGTGCCACCATCTGTTCGCCGATGTAGAGGATGTCCCACTGCGCCATCTCGTTGAAACCCGTCGCGAGCCGAGATACCGTCATGCTCTTCGGTCCCGGTCTCGTCCATAGCCTACACACCCGGCACGTGTCGCAGATCTCCTTCACCAGGGCCAGCGTAGATGCAGGAGCGCCGGCCTTGGTCAGCAGTTCTCTGAGGCGAGCTGCTGGAGCGTGCCAGAATCGAACATGAAGTCGTCGTAGCTGGCGCCGAACGACTTCCTGGTGTGGGCTGTGCAGCAGTCGAAGCGCGTGCCCGAGGTCAAACGCGGTCCAGCCTGGCTCGTCACTTCCTCGAGCCTGCGTCCCCGCATCCACGCCTCGGGCTGGCGCGGCTGGGGCCGCAGCCGGTTGCTCCGCGGCGGGTGCCTCACCGATGGCGTCCGCCGATCCCGAGGCACCGCCTGATGGCTCGTCCGGCTCCGCCTCTCCAGCTGCTGGCAGACGCGATCGAAGTCGCCGTGCTGCCGCTGTCGCTCGAGCCACTCGAGGTCGACGCTCCGCAGGCACAGGTGGAGGCAGTGGCGGTTCAGGTTCGGCATCTGGCGCGTCGGCTCGCGCGGCGCTCGGTGCCTGGTTCGCAGTCGGCTCCTCGGAGGCTGGTGGTTGTCTCGGTCGTAGATCTCGAGGTCCAACTGCTCTTGGGAGAACACTGTCTGCTCGGCATTCTCCAGGTATTCGGGTATGTCGTGTGTCTGAGGCCGCGCGACCACTCCGGCAGGCCGGGCACTTCAGGTCGCGATTCGTCGGCACAAATCTATGCTTGCATGTCTCCCCTCGATCATGGGCTGGGTGGTCAGCCGGCCGATGATGCCGACATCCAGCGCACGGCTGCGCAGCGCGCGGTACTCCTGCTGTGGACGCTGCTGCTGATGATGCCGCTGCTGCTGCTCCTGAAGCTGGTACTGCGGCTGCTGCTGCTCCAGAGGATGATGCGGCGGCTGCTGCTGCTCCCGAGGCTGGTGCTGCGGCTGATGCTGCTCCAGAGGCTGCGGCCGCAGACTCCGTGACAGCGTCCGTGGGGTAGCACTCGTACACAACGAGGTGGTGTCCCTGATATCTCACGCGCTCCACCATCTGGGAAATGCTCGCTGCCAGCTCCCGGCAGATGCCAATCGCCCACTCCGCATGATCCTTGGGGTTCTCTAGTCGCCATTTGTCACGCTCTGGATGGTGTCCTCGGCCACCATGGGCCAGCAAGGCGTGATCGTGCTGGCCGTCGCAGCGAAACCTCCTGAGTCCGGCGAGCAGGCGCTCGTCCGAAGCCCAGAACTCCGAGGACTTCTTGATAGGTAGTCCCGTTCGCCACCCGATCTTGCCGGCCATGCACTGGTCGACTTGGCACCACGCCACCGCGTAGTTGTTGGCGATGTGTTGCCAGTCGTCGAGCTTGTAGAAGTCGCTGCCCAACGGCTGTTCCGACACAAAGTGGCGTCCGGCGTCCATCTGAGTACACGCCGCTGCAGCGGCGATGCGGGCCAGCCCCACTGATGTCTTGCGACTGCGAAGCCAACCGTCGTAGTTGATGACCTTGTTGAGCGCCGAGAACCCCTTCAAGCTCGTACAGGGCGTGCTAATGAGTAAAACAAGAGGCTTGCCATGATACAGATATTCCCAAAACTGCCTCTGGCCCTCGTGCGTCATCAAGTTGCAGTCGCAAACGAGATCGAAGTTGGGGCCGCCCCGATATCCTCGTCGTACGAGTAGCCGGGTCGTTCCAGATGCGCCACCGCACAGCTCCGCGACGTCGTCGTGCTGCAGGTGGCCGTAGTAGAGGTTCATGTGTGTGTCCATATCCTTGACCGAGCTGAAGAAGTTCTGCTGCTCGTCTTTCTCGTTCAGGTGCGCCTCCGAGCCGATCATGCCAAAGAACTCGGACATCATGATGTACGGTTGCTCATCGATGTGCTGGTCCTCCCTGAGCTCGGTGCCGTAGCACACCTCGTCCAGCTCGTATTCGTTCGCCACGTAGAGTTTCGTGAAATCGGAGCCGCAGTCGTCGAAGACCTGCTCCACTGTCTGTGGCCTCTTCTTCACCTTGCGCTCCGGGTCTGCTGCTTTGCGCGCCTTGTCGCGCGTCCTCTGCTCGGTGGGAAAGCTCGCGGTCAGCGCGCTCACCTTGCAGCCTGTCTCGTCGACGTCGTCCGCGAATGACACTCGGCCAGGTCGACGTCGCTCAGCTCGTGACTGCTCCTCGTCGGCTTCTCTCAAGGCCTCTGTCCGAGATCCTGGAGGCCCGGTAGTCGTCGGATCCGTCCTTGACGACCCGGGTCGGGAATCACCCCCGGCCTCACGGCGCGGTGTAGCTGTCGCAGATGGCGACAATCCGTCGGCTGCGTCGGATCTCGCGCCGCCGTCGAAGCAACCAGCGGCCACCATCCGCTTGACCAGAGCAGATACCCCTCTGGCCTTGAAGTCCAACCGATCTGCAGCAGTCTTTCGTGTAACATGTCGGCCTGCTGGCCAGCCGCAGCGGCACTTCGCGTCGTGGTCGTCGAAGTAGCTGCTGCTGACGATGCGTGTAGTCTGAGCTGCTGGTGATCATCGAGCGTCACGAACCCCGAGATTGCACCATCGTAGTCGTCCTGAGTGCCACCTCCTGTCGTCCAGCAGCTCCAAGATGTCGGGCATGTCCCACACCGCGCTGCCCTCGTCCGCCTCGACGATGCAGCAGCGATGCCCTTCAAGTTGAGCTCGAGCAATCTTACACTCGAAACGCTTGGCTCGCTTGTCGTTGCGAGTGCCTCGCGACGTGCCCGGCTGAGCCAGGCTGATCCAAACGAGCTCCGGCTGCTGGTGGCGCAAGGAATCCGCCCACTTATCCTCCTGCCCGAGGAATCTGTGAACATCACAGTTGCGACCCACCGCATATCCGCATCCGTGCAGCGCGTTCTGGCACAGGTTCTGCAAGTCGCCGAACACCCATGCCGATGGCGGTCTCCCCTGTACTTCCCTGGTGCCCCCGCCGTCCCGAGCACCGAGATGGGGTGTCTTCGATCAGAGGTGCAGGCTGCCCGCGTCGGGCTGCCCGCTGGCGCTGTCCGATGTGGCACCGCTGCCGGATGACGTCGCCGTAGTGGTCTTCTTGCTTGCCGTCCTGGTGGATGCGGGAGTCGGGGCGGTTGCTGCAGGCAAGGATGTCGAGTCTGATGTCGTCGAGGTCGCCAATGCCATCGTCCTCGTGGGTCCCGAACTCCCCGATGTTCCCGTCTCGTCGTAGAGGTCGCAGGGCAGCATGAGGTGACCGGCGTGGCTCTCTTCCAGATGATACTGCGATGATCCTGGGCTCAGCTGCAGGGAGTAGCCGCCCGGGCCGATGCGGTACATGCGATTGTTGAAGCAGTCGAGCAGTATGCGCTGGTCCCGCAGCGATGCTCGCCCGAGCAGTGCCGGAACGCTGCTGTTCGGGAGCACCGGCGCCTCGTAGGTCGCGGCTTGTCCTCCCTGCAGCACCAGTTGATAGCGATGGGCGTGCGTGGCCCGCTGAGATCCTGAGCCCACACCGCCAACCTCAAGCACACGGTCGAGTGGGGTGCGGACAGGCGGTGGACGTCCTGCCTGCTGCTGTCGCGCTGCCATCCTGTTACCCCACTCATCGCCAGTAAGGTTGCCTGGGCTCCCGGGGTCCACCAGCAGAGCCTCGCCGCTCCTGTCCTTCATGCGGGTGCGAACCAAGTAGGTCTCCCCGCTGGCGTTCTCGAACTGATCAACTCGCCACCATGGGAACCATGTCGGGCTGGTCAAGGCCGCTGATCGCCCAGCTGTCGTCGGAGGCTGATCCTCCGCAGCTCGGTCCTGCATGCTGGCCTGGATCTCCGTCACCATGTCGTGCTCCGCGACGTTGTCGCGCATGTCCAGGGTCTCCCAGCTCAGCGCCTCGCGGAGGGTGTCCTCGTCAAGGTCGTCGATCTGCAGGCCGGGCGTCCGGGCATCTTCGGTAAACCAGCGCAGCACTCCGGACAGGGCTCCAGTCCGCGGCTGCGCGGGCACAGGCGCATAGGCGGACAATGTTGGGTCGGTGGCAGGGGCCCCAGCCTGCTGCGTCCCTGTCGAGGCGCTGCCAGAGTTCCAGGACATGAAGTGCTTGCCCTTGCCCTTGCCCTTGCGCTTGGGGCAGGCGGCCACGAGGTGAGTCTCCGAGTCGCACTCGTGGCATCGCATGGTACGGCCGTCACTGCCTCGAGGATTGGTGGCGCCGGGCGTGCCTGCCATGTAGTGCTTGCCGCCCTTCTTCTTCTTACCTTTTCCTCCTGCCAGCGAGCCTGGGTTCACCACCGATCCTCCAAAGTGGTATCCCTTGCCGTGGCCTCGACCACGTCCGAAGCTGCTGCCGCCCTTGCCGCTGTTCATACGAAGAGACCAGTTGCTGCGCGGGAAACGAGAGCGGCGGCTGTTCCGTTGAACGAAGTGGCGAAACCTGCGCTTCGCGAACAGGTACTCGTGTAACAGGGTGTCGTAGTCCCAGCCCTCGGAGTCGCCGTAATACTCCTGTAGTTCCTCCTGAGTAAACTGGGAAGTGTCCAAGTCATCGTCGTCGGTCATCGAGTCATCGTCCCCGGGCTCGTCTTCGTACAAGTAGCTCGAGCAGACGGCGCAGCAGTCGTAGCCCTCGTCGTCCTGGACCACGTAGTGCTGGGACGTAGATCCAGCGCTCCCTGCCGCGCCGGCTGCGTTCTGACCATACATATAAGCGGCCGTGTCATTCCAGGTGTTTGCGCCGCTGTCGCTCTCGCCCGTAAACCAATGATGACCATGATATCCTTTGCCGCGGTACCCTTCAGCCAAGTTCTGAGGTCCTGCATGAGTGTGCTCCGCAAAGTGGCCCTGCTGCCGCACCATCCCGATCACGCTGTTCAGCTGGTCGATCGTCATTGGCAGCTGGCCGCCGTTGGACTGCAGCACCAGGGGGTACACGGCCTTGGGCACATGCAGGGCCTCCAAGAACAGCAGCGAGAGCACCGGCGTCGGCAGCACGAGCGGTTCGTCAAGCTGCGCCACTCGGGCGCGCAGAGCCTCGAAGCGCGTGATCGCGTCGTCGATGCTCT